TTCGACCTCGCATCGGTCGTATCCACACCCTCAGCTGGAGTCGAGCCGCGACAGTGCAGAATGGGAGCTTGACACGTTAACCACTCGGCCACATTGCCACGAGTGCCCTTTGATCACAGGACAGATGTGAATTTCAAGGAAGGTCAGGCCTTTTCCCATATCACATTCCTCGGTAGGATTGTCGATGAAGCAAATGTATATTTGCTATAACAATCGACTACGTTACTTATTTTTCGTATGTAAGTAGAGTTTCGAGACTACCAGTAAATCAGTAATCAGTCCTTCATCACCTTAAACGAAATATGGTGAATACATCTCATATTACTTATTTACTGGTGGTTTCGAGACTCTACTTAAATACAAAAAATAAGTAACGTAGGCGATTTTTATAGCAAATATACGTTTGCTTCGTCGACAATCCCACCAAAGAATTTGATATGGCAAAAGGCCTGGCCTTCCATGAAGTGCATATCTACCCTGTGACCCAAGGGCAATGTGGCAGGGTGGTTAACGTGTCAAGCTCACATTCTGCACTGTCACGATTCGACTCCCACTGGGGCTGTTGATAAGACCAAGACGAGGTTGAAACTGCAGTCCACTTTTGCCTGAATGAGAACACCGTTTGGGATAGCAAGGCTATGTGAAATTCAATGGAAACGTCAGCTCTACTCATCTCATTGTGGGAAAATTTTACTACCAAACGAAATTGGGTGAATACATCTAATATAACTGATTTACTGGCAGTCTCGAATCTCTACATACGTAAAATACACTATATTAACAAACTTTCTACGTGTTTAGGACCTCGCCGAGTTGTCCGGCCATGGCCTGCAGTTCTACGATGAGGTGTTATTCTATACCGTGCTTCTGATAATTCTTGTACACTTGATCCTGTCGTTTCTCCACTTCTGGGACGTGTATGGCTACGACTATTGCCTTGGTCGCCTTCTGGCTCTGAGGCCAGCATCAGCTGCGAAATGGACAGTTTTTCAGCAGAGTTTGTCGTCAACCTATCAACCGGAGAATTACGATCGTGGCCCAATCTGGAGATTTCGCCGACCCCATCTGCTGGCCTACACTAACCAATCCTTCATCAGGCTGGCCGAGCCCGAGGTGCAGGTCGGATGCGACCACCGAGTGGAACACTTTGATTGGTTCTTCCGTATCCTCCGGTTTGTCGACAGCCGCTCCCACTTGCAATGAGGACTAAAGAGTGCTGACTTTCATCATACTTCTCTTGTATCGGTAGTCTTGAGGCGACAGAAGACAGTTTTACACACACACACAGTCATTTTTTTAGCTGTTCAGGTTAGGGCAGCATATTCTGAAAAATAAGTTTTATGCTAAGCTTATGAAAAAGTTTTCTGTAGCCTTCAGTGGGGACAAAGGGTCCGCCTTGTCAAAATGTGAAGACGAATCGGCCGTTCGTTGACTCGAGTATTCCCAATAAGAACTTAAGGTGAGCTAATTGCGGATGGAGGTATTTTCTAGCAATTATGTAAGTTGACCATTGAAGTTTACACTCAGCCTTGCCTCAAAAAACGTGCTCTCGCCTGAACTGGACTGCAGCTTCGACATCGTCATGGTCTCATTAGCAGCACCCGTAACGGGATTCGAAAGCAACACCGCCAGGGGTGTCAGTTGGTCCGGGGCGGATGCGACCTTTAAGGTGGACAAAATCATGTTTGTAGTCAGAGTGTCGATAAAATGAACATGTTTTGCCTTGAAAAGCGACGACGTTACTTATATTCAGTGTGAGTATATTTCGAAACTGTCCAAGTTGGGAAAATTGCTAGACTTAAATTTTGATAGGCCTATTCGAGTTGGGGATAGTCGACGACCTTGTGAAGTCACTCTCTTCCCCATGAATAAGGCTGCGGCCGTCGAGGCTTGTCTGACGCGAATTTCTGTGTCACTGGATCCGCGTTTTTAACTCTGTCGACATCAGGTAAATGTAGCCTTCTAAACAATACGTCTGGCGAGTCGCCTTGTAGTTGTCTGTTGTCACGACAATGCGGTACGGTTTAGAAAGCCACTTTCCTCCCAAAAGCTTTTCTCGATCGGGCTCAACTTGATTCATAGAATTGTACGCCAAGGTCCCATTCAAACAGTACCGGTGACTTCGAAACCCCTCTTTCGCGTGAAACAAGCAACATCGAAGATTGAGACGGTAAATGCATGCTTACCTCGTCGGCAATGCTACCAAACAATGCGAGTGACGCCAGCAGTTGTGTGGTCGAGGGTTTGCTTGTTGCTATCAGATGCACACGACCTGGACTCGAGCCCCGGCTATGGGTTATAGTCGAGGCGATATGGTGAAATGCAAAGATACGGCCTTGTGAGATTATCTGGTCTTCTGGCCTTTTGGTTGTGGAATAATCGCACGATGGGCCGGCCCAAAGCCGCCCCTCGGCGGACGGTCGGACGACTTGAGAGCTGTGCGGCTGTCAGACGGTCGTGTCGGGATCTCCGGGGCATCATCGGTAGATGCTGCTTGGATACTCAATTCTGAGTCGATAGGGGTCGATGGGCCAGCAAACCTGGATCCTTTGATCCTTTTGCTTAGTTTACTAGTTCGGTGGGGAGACGCCCGAGCAGGTAAACGATAAATTGGCGCCATGCAAGCTATGCGAATGTGTAGCCTATCGCAACGATGGTCGATCCCACCGGTCGGCTGTTGGGTGGCTTGACTGGAATATTCTAGATGGATTTTGTTGTGAAGACTTTAATTTCGTGTGAAAGTGTGTCTGATGAAGAGACACGTAGATCGATTTTACCACAAGACGAAGGCAACCGTTTCGTTTTATTGCGACCATGAGGTTGATGCGGTCCACGAGACAGCCTCGTTTCGGGTGAAAACGGGCTGAGCTTTTGTCCACTATATGATAGGCATAATCAGCATTTGGACTCATTCTTGCAAATGTCTCAAGTAAACATTAAGTTAAAAAGAGTAAACAGCTCTTTCTTATTTGATGCATATACCAATAACGGTAAAATGGATATAGAAAGGTTTGCTTAATTTTCGTATACTCGAGTGTGTGCAGTGTGTTAATGTCTGTGCGTGAAACCAGGCTTAATTATAAGAAAAGGTTAGCCTCAACCAAAGGTCACTAAGGCACGATCGACATTGCGTTAGTCCGTAAGTAACTCTGGTGGAGTTAATCAAACCAAAGTCATGTACGCGCAAAAGTCAGTTTACGAAACATCTAGTCGAAACGCGTCGGTCTAGGGTCAATTAGGTTAAACAACCCAGCGAGAGTTTCGAGACTCGAATCTCCTCCGATTCCGTTGAAAACGTGCTAAGCTTTCGTCGTTAGGGCAGATGTTATCATTCTTATAGCAATATTCAGGCTAACAAGTCAGAAAAACTCTTTCTTATAACGGATGCAATCCTAGCAAGCTTCCACCGGAATCGAAGGAGATCGCCTCGAAAACAGCGCAAACAAGAATGGTCCAGTAAAGCCAATCGAAAGATAGTCAAGAGGGATTCGCCGTCGTCTTCAAGTGGGATCGACGTAGAAACTCTTCACCAAACACTCACTCGGAATGGAAGTTAGCTCAACAACTATAGGCCAAGCGATTCCTCGAAGCCCAAACTTTCTGCGAATGTTGCGGTAACGCAAATCAACCACTGACCGAGCGGGATCGGCCGTCGTCTTGTAATGAGATGAACCGTCGAATCTTTCATCAACGCATTGAAATTGGGCAGTGACGATCTATAAACTGAAACCTGTCATGAGACTGTTGAGCTTAATTCCATTTCGAGTGCAAATTTTGGGTGAAGAGATTCGATGGTCGATTCCACCAGAAGACGACGGCGGATTCCTCTTGACCAGCTGTCGATTGGCTTTACTGGAAGATTCATGCTTGTTTCTAAGGCAATCTCCTTCGATTCCGGTGAAAAGATGCTAAGCTTTCGTCCGACATATGATTTGCCGATGAGTTTTCTTGACTCGTTAGCTTGAATTTTGTCGTGACGATGATACCTCGCTCTGATGATGTCCGTCATGACGGACGAAAGCTTAGCACCTTTGCACCGTAATCGAAGGAGATTGCCTCCGAAACAGCGTCAGCATGAATGTTCCAGTAAAGCCAATCGAAAGTTGATCAAGAGGAATCCGCCGTGGTCTTCTGGTGGAACCGACCTTCGAATCTCTTCATCCAACACATTCACTCGAAATGGATGAAAAGACAATATCAACAAAGAAGGGATGAGAGTTGAAAGAAGAGTAAAATGGAGGATATCAGAATAAGAGAAGAAAATAAATGAAGAGATCAGAATGAGAGATAAAAAGAGATCAGAGTAAAGATCAAAAGAGGAGATAATAGGAGTAGAGTGAAGAGAGAAGAAAAGTGGAGAGGAGAAATGAACGGAGATCAGAAGAAGGGATCTGACGGGAGACGAGAGGAGAGGAGAGAAGGAGATTAGATTGGAATAAGAAATACGCATATGATAGATGAGGAGGGGAATGGGAAGAGAATAGGGAGGGGGGAAAGTAGAAAAGAAAAGAATAAGAGAAGAGAGATGTCAGAAGATTAAAACAAGAGAAGCGAGGAGAGGAGTGGAAAGTGAAGAAGAGACGCGAGGAGAGAATAAGACATCAGGAGAAGAGATCAAACGACGACAGGAGATAAGATTTGAGAGCACATCAAGAGGACACGATCGGAAGAAATAAAAGATCACGAGGTGAGCAGAGAGGAGAGTAAAAAGTAGGAATGTTCCAGTAAAGCCAATCGACAGCTGGTCAAGAGGAATTCGCCGTCGTCTTCTGGTGGAACGGACCATCGA